TTTCAGGTGTTTCTTAGACTTAAGCTAGTTGTTTCATTTCTCATATAAACTAGAGTTACATTCTATTGTTTTTTTTGTTTTTTTTTTTTTTTTTTTTTTTTTGCAGAACCAGAGATTGAACTCAGGCCCTTGCGCTTGCCAGGGACGCGCTTATTCTACTGAGCTATCTCCCAGCCCCTAGAGTTACATTCTATGTAGCTCTTTTTTTTTTTTAATTTTATTTATTTGTGTGTGTGTGTGTGTGTGTGTGTGTGGCCAGCTCAGCCCACCAGGGGGCGGGGCTGGCATGTGGTGCTGGGGGATTGAACCATGATCCCTGTGCTTTGCTAAGCTTGTTCTAAGTAGGTGCTTTAGACCACTGAGCCATCTCACCAGCCCCTGTAGCTCTTATTCAGCAGCAAGAATATTAGTAGTAATTGAGAAATAAGATTTGTATTGTCCCCAATCGGTAATAAATTTCTATTGTTAAACATTCCTACATTAATAATTTTCAAACAACCAAATATCTTTTATACAAAGAGAACACAGGATTCAATCTCATGCAATTAATGGAATAGGAATAATGTGCTTAATAATTTAGTTTCAAGTTCTTTATGGGCCACTTAACAGCTATGTGCATGGATTACTTCCAAAAACAGCTTATTTTTATTAATACATGTTTGTTGGGCTGGCCAAATAGCTCAGCAGATTAAAGCGCCAGCGAGCAGGCGCAGGGGCTGAGTGTTCAATCCCCAGGCCTGCCAGGCCCACCCACTCCCTGGGCGCACTGATACTGCGATTAAGACGGTGCGTGGTGGCATGTGCCTATAATCCCAGCCCTTGAGAGGTTGTAAACAGGAGAATCACTGTGAGTCTGATCTAGTAGTGAGACCCTGAACACCCTATAGACCCTTCCCTAAAATACAGAAATAATAATACATGTTTGTAGTACATAATGATCACATTCATCATGGGTAGTTTGTACATGTACATAACACATCTTTTTATGTCCCCTGCCTTGGCCCTCCTCCCTCTTGCAGAAGATGAGCAAATTAGTTATTCACTCTAAACTTCACCTTATTTTTTATGTATTTGGTACAGGGTCTCACTATGCAACTCGGACACCTAGTGATCCTCCCATTTTCATCCTCCCCAGTGCTGAGATTACTGGTGTGTGCCACCACACCTGGTCTCATTGGCTGGCTTGACATGTCTGGGGCCCGAGACAGCATGGCATGTGGTGCCAGGGATTGAACTCCGGTCCTTGCGCTTACCAGCTCTTAGCCTGCTGAGCTATCTCACTGGCCCTCATCATCTTTAAATAGGGGCAAATAATGCCTATTTTTTAGGGTTATTGTGAGAATACTGTTTTTGTTTAAAGCTTGTATAGTTTCTGGCACATATTAAAATATTTGCTTTTATTTTCAGTATACCACTGTGCTGCTTGAAACCTTTTTGGTGGTTTTGCCAGTATCGTTCTTGGAATTTACTACAAACTACCAGCTTAATTTACAAAGCTTACCATAACTTCTCAAGATTATTTATTGCCACTTTTATTTTACGTGTGAAGTTCCAGCAACCCTGTCGTGTCTTGTGCTTCCTCACCTTCATGGTACTTTCTTCCTCTTCTGTATTTATGACTACTGATTCCTCTGCTGGAAGAAGTTTTTCTCCTACCTCTTTCAGGCTGGTTAATGTTTCCTCTTCTTCACCTTTATTACTTCATTGTTACGTGAACTTGAGTAGGTCACTAATTGCTTTCATTCATAATTTGCACACCTTTAAAATCTGGTTAATCATATATGCCTGTCTATTTATTCTAGTAGTATTAAATATACTCTACATCTCATTTCTATCTAGGCACTAGGAATATGTAAACATTTTTGTCTCAAAGAACTTATGTAGACTAGTAAAGCAAGCATTCTGTAGACAAATAACTATGATCAGGCATTTGCTATAATATTGCTGAGCTTTAATGAGATTATGTGGGGAACATTTATGGGGTAGGAGATGGGATTAAGATAACATTATAAAAGTAAGATGATTTGGCAGGGATTTGCAAGGTTTTGCAAGCTTTATCAGAGGTAGTTGCCAGAAGAGATGCTTTGAGCTCTATGTTGAATGGGTAATACCTCAGAATGGAAAGTGACTGTTAAAAACTGAGTAAAAGTACTACGATTCATGAATTTGGTTCTTTCTATGATTCTGATCACAAACTGAGTTGGATGAGAACTGAATCAAATTCAGTGGTTAGGTTCAATGTTGACCTTATGGGGATGTTTCTTTGGGCTCTCATCCAGCTTGGTTTACAACCAGAATCATGGAGACAACTGAGTTAGTGAACCAAGGCACCACTGTATTACTAGAGTGGATAAACTTAGAGAATCTTACTGTTTCCATTAAATAGTACTGTTTCAGCAGTATAGCTGTATCAGAAATAACTATCTACATTCCATTATTTTTCTTTGTTTCTATTTTTAGTGTTCCTCTGAACAGCAGGGAAAATATCTCTGATCCCACCTCACCGCGGAGAACCAATTTTGTATACCATTTGTCTGACCTGTAAGAGATTTTCTTTCATACTATTGGATATTTGAACATTAATACCTTTTAACTAACCTTGCTAGTCAGAATGTTTCTGAAAATATGTTGGAATGTAAACATTGACAAGTATCTGTACTTTCAAATACATTCCTGTGTTATTAGATATGGCAAGTTGATGGAATTGTGACAGTTAAAAAGTAGCTATAATCAAGTCTAAAGAAGAAACTAGTGTTTTTGATACAAGCAGGATCATTTTATATTACTAGCTCAATAAATGGATTTCAGCTTATAAATATACAAATATTTCTTTGGAAATTAAGATAGAATCCAATATCAAATAGTTTCTACAAATATTCTTTTCTTGTCACCATAAATAACTCATTTAAATAAACTATCCAGTTGGGAGAAAACCTAATACTGTAGAAGTTTCTGTATGGTTTAGGTCAAACCATAAAGTTATCATCTTATTAATTATATAACTTACTCTCAACTAATTTTCATATATTAAAGGCTGAAAAATCTCCAGAACCATTCTGTATTGCAGAAGTGATGAGGTCCGAAAGAAGTCGACTTATTGCAGATCAGGGTTAGATGAGCTAATGGTTTTAAATAAAAATTTGTAACCACTCATATTTTGATTCAGCATTTAATGTGAATTGTTAATGCGTGTTCTTTTCTTTCAGCTGTAAAAAATGCGATCCCGTAGAAGTGGAGCTGGATAATCAGGTAGTTACTGCCACACAGAGCAATCTCTGTGAGGAAGACAGCGTGCCGGAGACCTGCTACACTTACGACAGGAACAAGTGCTACACAACTGTGGTCCCGCTTACATATGGCAGCGAGACCAAGCTGGTGAAAGCGGCCTTAACCCCTGACTCCTGCTATACTGATTAGTCCCAGTCTCGGCTGCTTAAGCAGCTGTCTTGAGAGGCTCTCCATTTTGTCTAGAAAGTTAGTGTTTTCACTGCCATTGAATTTTAAGCCAAATTTTAAAATTTTTAGACAATGCAAGACAAACTTCCTTATAAAAATTTAAAGTTTTTACTTTATTAGGTAATTACTTCTCAAACCTAAGTATTAAAATTGGTCAATTATGCTTGTCAAGAGGGATATACTACCTTAAGATCATAGATTTTAGCATTTTAAAAAAGACAAGGAAATAAAACTAAAGTGTAAAAATCCAGAGGCATAATTAAATGTCCTTTTTTGCTTTGCTTTGTTTTGGAGAGCCATAGCTTTTACATAATCTATGCCATTCTCCTTTAAAAAAGTTCCACTGTGTAGAGAAAATCTGTGTGTAAGCGTAGGTCTGTTATATGTCTTAATTAGAAAAATGATCATTGGAGAACATGTTTTAAGACTATGTATAAAATTATTAAAAATATCTTTAATTTTTATGACCAATTTTTAAAAAATGTTATAATTTAAAACATAACTGAAAAGATATATTTTGACATAATACGTAGACTTAGCAGAACTTCCTTTCTTTTGATAAAATTTTTTTTCAGCAATCAAGTTAGTGTTAGAAATTCCCATTGGAAATCATCTTTATTGCAACTGAATCCAATGAATTTTTTAAAAAATATATGTTCTCTAACACAGTTTGAACAATTAAATAGATTCATAAGCATATACCTGTGTGAAATAATTTATTAGAAAAAAGTTTGAGTTAAGTTCCTTCTTTTCTTGTGTTAACTTTCTGGGAATTGAACCAGGGCCTTGGGCATGCTAGGCAAACCCTCGACCACAGGGCTATATCCTCTTCCCCTTAACTTTCATATATATAAATTGAGTATAATTTGTTATTGATGAGCAATTTGTAACATTGTGAAATGTATGTATTGGTCATAGAATTCATACATTAATGTATTTGACCATTTTACACCCAAAATTAAATAAAAAGGCAAGGTTTTCATGACACATAAATCCTTGTGACAGCAAGCCAAGGTCAGTTGATGTATATGTAAGAGTATTCTGGAAAGTAAATGCTGATGATTTTAAATAGGGGAATGATGGGTAAAAATTAGTTTCTGTGAGTCATTCTTCTGTTTTCTTTTTAAAAATTGTGGTAGTCATTTCGAGTAACCTCTGTGTTTATAATGATACGTATTTAGGCATAAAGTTAGGACACTGTACATCAGTAGGAATTAATACTTTTGATATATGAAGTGTGATTTAAAAGAAAAAACCTACTGCAGTAAAAGGTACATTGTCATGCTCCTCCTCTTTGAACACATTTATCCCATTATTCTTGGTACTTTCTGAAGTGGTTCTAGAAGTCCATCTTTCATTATGTCTCTCTCTCTTTTTCTTTCTTAATTTCTTTCTCCTCTCTCCTCTCTCTCCTCTCTTTCTCTCCTCTCTCTCCTCTCTCCTCTCTCTCTTCTCTCCTCTCTCCTCTCTGTCCTCTCTCTCCTCTCTCTTCTCTCTCTTCTCTCTCTTCTCTCTCTGCTCTCTCCTCTCTCTTTCTGCTGCATAGGGTTTCCCTATGCAGTTCAGGCTGGTCTTGAAAATGTGGAGATCTTTCTGCTTCAGCCTCCTGTTGGGTACAGACATGTACTACCATGCCTGGCTAGAAGCTTTTTTCATGAGTGGCTTAAGTTGTGCTTAGCTGGACTTCAGTTGTGGTTTTGTGGCTGCTTCAGTGTCCTGAATGTATTTGAAACACTTACCTTTCATGGTTGTTTGACTTTGGGGAGGAGGCAAAGGTTGCACAATGCCAGATCTGCTGGCAGAGGAGGAGGTTGAGGACACAGCACTGTGTTCCTAGGAGCTGCCTTTCTGTTGGATGCTACCCAACAGCAGCACTCACCACAGTTTTCATCATATGTTGTAAGAGTTCAAAGGACTAAAGAACTGCTTCAGACAGTGGCAAGAATGATCAGTGTATTTGAAGTGAGGTGGAGGAGGGGGCACATGATGACAGTGTGTCTTTTACTACATTGGTTTCCTTTTAATTTAAACATGCACCATGTATAGTACTTGCTCTAAAAATGCCTCCATTCTTGATCAACCTTTTATCTAGCATATACATGTTTGAAGTCTTTGGATTTCAGTTAACCAATAAGTATTTATTGACTATTAATCTTTTTCATGGAACTATCTGCGCTGATTAAACTGTGGTGAGTGCCTCAAGAAAGCCCCCATTCTTCTCATACCTTATAATGCTGCTTAGTTGTAGTCTGTGACTCATCCTGACCACTTTAACATTTCTCTTCTCTTGTTTTTTTTTGAGACGGGCTTGCTATGCTGTTCAGACTGGCCTGGCCTAGAACTTGCTGTGTAGCCCAGGGTGGCCTCAAACCCAGTGGTCCTCCTGGCTCAGCCTCTTGCATACTGGGTGCGCCCCACAACACTTGGCTAAACTATCTTTAATTTTAAATAAAAGTTAGTTTGCTTGCTTGCTTGCTTTCCTTCTTTCTTTTGTTCATTCGTTCGTTTGCTGTACTGGAGATTGAACTCAGGACCTTGCGCTTACCAGGCAAGTGCTTATTCTACTAAGCTATCTCTCTGACCCCTAAGTTTCCTTTATTTCTTTATCTTAGTTTATTCTATGTCCTTGCCAAACTCAAGGAAACTTTGTCATTGTGTATTTATCATTTTATTATGTTTTATCTCTCCATTAGAGTATGATGTCTGGTGTTGTATCACTAGCACCCAGAACAATATCTGCCACAAAGAGGTGCTCAATATGTATTTATCGAATGAATGAACGTGAGTAAAGCTTAGTTCAAGAAACGATACACATGGATATAAAGAATTATAATTATTTGGCAGAATTTGATATAAATAAACAAAAAGACTCCAGAGGGCCATGAGACTGCTTCTGAAGAGTCTCTGTGCTCCAGCTCCATTCTTGTGTATTTTGTGTAACCATTAGGAAAAGTTTTTTGGTACTTTTTGCAGATTGATGTATGAAAGACTCTTATTCTGGCATTATTACCTTGTTAAATGCAAGCTGAAAGTCTTGGAGTGCTTCCTTTTTCTGAAGTAGAGTTAAATTCTAAGAGAACTACACTATATTAATTTATCACTAGATGCTAGTCACCAGTCTCAGTGCTTTGTAAATATAACTCATTTGGTGTAAAACCAGAGCAACTGGTGACTCTTTTGTGAGAGTTAAAGCCTTTCTGATAGCTTTAGTCACATATTTGGTTGTGTTAGTGGCACCTTTAGCAGAGGCACACAAATTCGTACAGAAGGTGCCTTTTTTCTTAGCAAGAAATATAACTGGCCCCTGGTATTCAGAAGCTTGGCTTTTGGCTCTTTATCAGGGCAACATAACCATGAGAAATGTGTTTGAATAGAAACTTAATGACTCCTGGACTCCAGAGGTGGGAGTAAGCTGGATGACATGTTAAGGTGTAGCTGCACCTGTCCTTGAGATGCTGGCTGAGTAGTTCTGTGGGGCAAGTGGGGAGAATCACAGTTCTCCAGGATTTCCGAATTCTGCAGCTTGGAGTTGAGCGTCTTGGCTTTAGGACAACAAACCTCTACCTCTATCTAGTGGTTCAGTTATGAAGTGCAGTGAATGCATTTCTAACAAGCATGTTTTCATTTAATCCTTACTAACACCCCATGAAAAAAGTGCTGTGTTCGTTTTACAAATGGTATAATTTGGTACATTCCTGTAATTTCAGCACTTGGGAAGCTGAGATAGGAGGATTGTCATGTGTTTGAGGCCAACCTGGGCTATGCAGTAAGGCCTGACTCAAGGAAAAAAGGTGACAAAACAGATGTGAAGAGAACTAACCTGCTTAGTTTTGCAAGCCATATATGGAGAACTAACAGCTGTTCCCAAGACAGTAAAAACATACTCTCATATTGTCATGTCATATCTGAACACATATTCACAACATGTTGCTCAGTAATCCACTTCTGAGGAAATAACCAGAAACACTGAAAGAGAAGAATGCAAGCATGTATTTATCACATTGTTTATGATAATGGAAGTTCATAAGGAGTCATGAGTCCATCATAAGTGGAATGTTAATATTGATCTACTTTCAGAATATTTTACAGGCAACAGAAATAAAATTTTAAGATATTTTTAATTTTATAGAAATTGTTTAATCAATGTGAAGGGAAGAGAATGACTTAAAAAGAGCCAGGTGTGGTGGTACACACCTGTAATTTCAGTCCTTGGTAGGCTAAGGCAAGAGGATAGTTCGAGGCCAGATTGGACTACACAATGGGACCCTGTCTCAGAAACAAAACAAATCAAAACATTACAAGGGACTGGGGAGATAGCTCAGTCTAAGCGCCTTCCTGGCAAGCACAAGGCCCCAGGATTAAATCCCTGGTACCCATGCCATGTAGGTCCCAGAAACCTGGGTGTGCCAGCCACTGAAACGGTGTGGTGGCACATGCCTGATCCCAGCACTTGGGAGTCTGAAATAGAAGGATGACTATGAGTCTGAACTGTGAAACGAGACCCTGTATCAAATAAATAAATATTAAAAGAAGAAAATAACCTTAAGAAACCTTTAACCTGTGCTTTCATGAGAAAAGACAAGAAAAAACTAAGGAAGTAGGCCAAAATATTTTTGTTTCCCTTTACTTTTTAGTATTTTCCAAATATTCTATAATGTATGTAACATAATTTATTATTCTAAAAATTTTTTTTAGTATTAAGTATTTTATTTTGAAGAGTAAAAACATGCAAAAACAAATTTAAAAAATGGAGTAACATACAATACATATGTTACAGATTTTCAAAGCAGGAATAGTAATTAACAATATTGTTATTTTTTTTTCATCAAATCTGTTGCTGAGATTAACACATACAGTTATACAAGAATCCTCATTCAAGTAGACGTGGACTTTGCTTTTGTTCCAAACACACAGCCGTGGCAGATGAAATTAAAATGGAGGAATAAATACATAGTGATGGTCAAAAATTTGTAAGATTTGGACAAATGAAGAGAGACACAAGTGAGAGGATAAACCAGGACTGTGGTTTTCGGACTAGGCAGAGAACTGCGAATGAGAAGCTGCTATTGGTTGGTGAATTGCTCCACAGAAGTCAGTGGTCAGAGTTAGGTCTCTACCGAGACAAAAGCTAGCGTGGCTCCTTGAGATATAATTCAGGTTCTCTGCTGCTCACTGCCTCTTGGCAATAGGGTTTCTTTTTCTTTTTTTTTTTTTTCCATAATAGTTATTCTTAAAAA